ATGTGGTCGATTATCAGCAGTCCTGGTGACAACAGGACAGAGAGTGCAGCGGCGTGAGCAGTGACTTTGGACTTTGAGGTCTTCACATAGCTGGCGAGCATTTAGTAACGGACAGATGAAGTAGGGTGGTGTGTAAGTACAGGTGCAAAGCGTAGACTAAGACGAGCTCGGTAACAATGACTGTAGAACGCTGGAAGTATACGGTCTGCCAGCTGTTGTATCCAAGATCTTTTACATTGAGCAGACCGGGATCAATATAGGGTGCAGCTTGGGACATTAGCCATTCAAAGTAAGCGAAGAACGGCGGATAGTCCAAGGTCCATTCAGACGTTTTCTGGAGTGTGTTAGATTGGAACAATTGCGTGGCGTTGACGGCATGGTTGTCTGACTTCATAGTACCACTCCTTGATGGGTAGGGAATGCGTTAGAGCAAGCCAGTTACGATGAACCTCGAAGTCGGTCGACTTACTGCCGGAGATGGTCAGCAAGGACGAGGAACTATACTTCAGAATTGTGCAGCAAGACATACTAAGCAGGAAAAAGCAGCACCTTGAGCGCCGTAGCCACGACGGCGCACTGCGCAATGGACGGAGATAGCTGTGCCATGGGAGAATTGACAGCGGGTTGATGCACGATCGCCGGAAAGCACAGATTGACCAGTCGCTCGTAGTTGGGCGTCACGTGCTCGCTTATGGATAATCCCTGCCATCCAGCATCCGTGGTCGCGTATGTACAGAACACGTCAACCTTGGAAACAGTAGAATACGCAAACGTCATTCTAGAAGTCAGCAAACCCCCAGGGGTAAGCATGACACACGTGGAGGTTTCGCATGATGGCGTTTGACATCTGATACCCCGAAGACGGAGCGCTCCGTGTTTGTTCCACACCTGGCGAACGCTCGCAGTAGTATACCCCGGAGCCAGACCAGATGGAAACGCTCGATACGGCTTGCTGAGACGCGGCGATGGGCAGGCTGGCACTAAGGGCCATCCTTACGCCTGGAACTGGAGCCGCCGCAATACGATCTGGACCCTTTCGTGTTCGCGTGACAAAGGGAAAAAAGGGACCCGTCTTAAGAGCAGCACTATCAGGCGGCTCGTCTAGTCAGGGACGGTGTGCATATCTGCAATTACCCGTTGGCCGCGTCTGCTGGAGGATACCGAGCTGCGCCGTTGGTAGCACAAGGCCGTCTACGCCAGGCACGGGGGCGCGTCGCTGCACGAAATACCACGCCGCCTAGCACAGGCGTCTGGGGGGCCAGAGAACTGCAGGGCAGCGGTTCGTGGCGACGGTGGTTTGCACGATTCAGACGTGGCCTGCGCGTTTAAAATGGGCGGTGCGCTAGTTGTCCGCTTTGGGCTGCCTCATTTGCGGCTGCCTCCTAATGTGCCCTGCTAGTTAGCATTTCTCACCGACCTCTTTCTTCTCTCCTCCGCTCCGACTTCAGGTCGCATCCCTCTTCTTCGATCCCCTTCGTTCATTCTGTCCTCTTCTCCCCGCATCGAGGCTCCCGGCAAAGCTTGCTTCTTTGCACTTCATTCTTATTGTTCGCTCTTTTGGTGCACGCATCCTCAAACAAGCCACGCGAGTTTGTTCTTCGGCAGCTCTGGCCCACGGCATTTAATTGCGCCTCCACTGCGTCCACCGTGCAAGCCTGCGACAGTACCCTTCTGGATCTCTGTGCCTGCATCCTTTAGGCCCCGATTGCCTGCGTTGTGAGCGTGTCTTGTATTGTTAGACCTGCAAACGACTCGTTGCCATTGTGCTTTTGGAAGTACGTCTTGTCCAATGCGTCTCCACTGCGCTCAAACTAATGTCCTCTAGAACGCTCTACATCTTGTAATACAGCAGCATCTTCGCAAGCCCGGCGACCTCTCTGCAACCGGTTGCAACTTCACCTTCTGCCATACATATTTCGCCGTCCGGTCCAACGAGTCCCGGACGCAGTAATACACCTTCACCACGGCGGTTCTATCTCAAAACGCGCGGGACAGCTTCAGTCTGCCTCCGCACCTCCTCGGTATGCAGCAACACGACGGCGCCCCGAACGCCCCCAGCGGTCCTCGTCTCCAGTCGAGCTTCCACAGGCAGATGAACGGCGGTCACCACGGCTTCTCGCACGGCGCCTTCGCTACGAACCAGCCCGGCTATGGCGACCGACACCCGGAGAGGGCGAACAACATGTCCATCAATACCGGCAGACTCAACCCTGGCAACCAGAACGGCAACGATTTGCAGACTCCAGGAACTGGTTTCGACATGAACTTCACCCCTCTGCTCCCTTCGCAGTTGCTCCTCGGTAGCCCCTTCCAGCCAGGCTCGCCCTCGGCTTTCGCTTCCCCGCAGTTTCAGAACTTCGCACAGTTCGCTGGCCAGAATCAGTCTCAGCAACAGAACCACCAGAACAACCAGATGGGAAGCCCCTTGCAACAGCCTCTTTCGCCCCAGCTGTACCAGAACATGGTTTCTCCCACTAGTGGCTTTTTTGGTGGGCCCCAGTCACCTACTGGAGGTTTCCCTGGTTACGGCGCGCAGGGTCTCGGTGGACTCGGCTCCTCAATGCCGATTGCTCCCGGTCTTGTATCTGGAACTAGCAGGACTGTATACCTGGGCAACATCCCCCCTGAGACTTCTGCGGAGGAGATCCTCGGCCATGTACGCAGTGGTCAAATCGAGTCCGTCAGGCTTCTCCCAGACAAGAACTGCGCATTCATCTCCTTCCTGGACAGCAGCTCCGCCACTCACTTCCACTCTGACGCCATTCTGAAGAAGCTGTCAATCAGGGGTCAGGACATCAAGATTGGATGGGGAAAGCCGTCCCAGGTCCCCACATCTGTGGCCTTGGCTGTGCAGCAATCAGGTGCCTCTCGCAACGTCTACCTAGGTAACTTGTCCGAGGATGTTTCTGAGGACGAACTCCGCGAAGACCTCAGCAAATTTGGTCCCATTGATACCGTCAAGATCGTCCGGGAAAAGGCTATTGGTTTTGTTCACTTCTTGTCCATTGGAAATGCCATCAAGGCTGTGTCTCAACTTCCCCAGGAGCCAAAGTGGCAGGCGCCTAGGCGCGTATACTACGGCAAGGATCGATGCGCTTACGTTTCGAAGACCCAGCAGCAGAATGCCGCGCAGTACCTGGGTATCGCGCCTGGCTACGCTCATGTTCTGAATGGTGCTGACCGCGACATGATCTCCAATGCTCTTGCTCAGCAATCTGTCGCTGCCGCGGCGGTCGCGACCTCTGCTGGTGGTGTGAACAACTTGGGTAACCGAACAGTTTACCTAGGTAACATTCATCCCGAAACCACCATCGAGGAGATCTGCAATGTTGTGCGCGGTGGTCTTCTTCACCACATCAGGTATATTCCGGATAAGCACATTTGCTTCGTTACTTTCATCGACCCGACGTCGGCTGCGTCCTTCTACGCTCTTAGCAATCTCCAGGGGCTTATGATCCACAACCGTCGCTTGAAGATCGGATGGGGTAAGCACTCTGGTGCTCTCCCGCCTGCGATTGCCCTTGCTGTCAGTGGTGGTGCCTCACGTAACGTCTACATCGGCAACCTAGATGAGTCCTGGACCGAAGACCGCTTAAGGCAGGATTTCTCGGAGTATGGCGAGATCGAGCTGGTCAACACCCTGCGCGAGAAGAGCTGTGCATTCGTCAACTTCACCAACATTGCCAATGCCATTAAGGCAATTGAAGCGATTCGTGGCCGTGACGAATACAAGCGATTCAAGGTCAACTTCGGAAAGGACCGATGCGGTAACCCTCCTCGCCAGATGAACAGCCAGCAGGCCCAGGCTCAGCAAGCCGGTAGCGATGGTCTCCAGTCACCATCGCCTATCAACGGACTACATCCCAACCGTGCTGGTGCTTCAGTCTCGCCGACTGGCTCTGGCGCACCAGGCTCTGGCCAAAGCACCAACGGCCAGTTCCCTTCCGTTCAAGCACCTGCTTCAGGTAACATCATGAACTCCGGCAACAACAACCCCCTCATGATGTACCTACAAGCTCAGCAACAGCAGCAGCAACAACAACAGGTCGAGGCCAGCATGCAGCAGCAGCAACAGCAGCAACAACAGCAACAGCAGAACCAGCAGCAATCTTTCCAGTCGCCGCAAGCTGCTTTCTACAGTGCCGATCTGAACACTCCTCAGCCACACCACTCTCATAGCTCCCATCAAAGCACATCGAGCTTCAGTCTGATTAACGGTACGTCAGCTGGTGGCTCAGGTGCTACTACTGTCGGTGGCCTCCTCGCACCCTCGAACCTCAACTCGCGCGGTCAACACTCTCGCGCTGTGAGCCTGCCCGCTTTCACTCAGGGCCCCTTCAACCACTCCATGCAGCAAACCCAAGCACCTCAGCAGGGTTCTTTCGGTAGCCTAAGCTCCGGTATCGGTGGTTTCGGCAGCGGCAACGGCGGTTACGGTCTTGCCATCCAGGGTGACGGTGGTCTCCCTGGCTGGGCAGAAGAAGAGGTTGGTGCGCAGTAAGCCTTACCTGGATGTCGTGTATCTTCTTCATTGTGCGATACTTATCCTTCATCTACTGGCTGGTTATTACTACTCCCTTCTTTCGCCTTCCCAGAAATTTCCTTTTGCATATGTCCGGTCTAGGGTTATGGCGCGAGCTGATCAAGCTTTGGGGATCGATCTTCAACTATGTGTTGTAATCTGAATGTGCGCAAGATGTTGCCTTAATACTTGACCTTACCACCTTCGCTTTCTTTTTTCTTTCTTTGCCCTTTACGTTGTTGTAGTTTAGATACCTGTAGGGATACCTAGGGATTTGGTAGGAGGCAATGAGACTAGATGGTCGTATGAGTGTCTAGGCAGGGTAGGCCTGGCATATAGTCAATCAAACTGTAAAACTATTCATGATTCACTTGCATGCTACTTGATCTGAGTGTGGTCCGCGTCACACCTGGTGCCACATGTTCATCTCAAGTTCTCACATTGGGTATCTGATGATAAATGATATGCAAATATTGGCTCATCCGCGCATGCGCAGAGCATCGCACCACATGCGCACCATCGCCTCCTGCTCCTGGCCCTTTTTATTCGTTGCAGTCGAAGCCATCATCACTTCCCTGATCTCTGACCGTCCCAGATCGCGCCCATCTTTGATCCTACTCCAGCAGTCGCGCACCACAGCCTGCGCATACTCAATGTCAACTTCCTCTGCGTCCAATTCCATCGCTGTACCATTCTCCATTGTGCCATAGCCTGAGTCCATGTTGCCATCCGTGTCCTCAGCGCCCAACGTTGTGCTAATGCAGACCACGACACCGGGTGATGAGATAGCGCCCGACTGTGGTCCTTCACGAGTCGCTCGTAGCTCGCCGATTTGTATCGAACAGAGCCCCCCGCTATATGATGCCCCCTCTCGCACCGCGAGTATGTGTCTCGGCGTCCACAGAGCGGAACATTGGTATCGCAGTACTGAGGCATGTGCGTCTTGTTGTCGCAGCGGTATCGACGTCATAGTTTCCTGTTGCGCTCGCGGTTGTGCAAAGACATATGTGCGGTTCGGCGAGAGGCTCGAAAGGTGGAGGAGGTGCTGGTATGAATGTACGTATGGCTCTGGTTTACCGTCTGCGCCCGCAGGTGGCTGGTAACCCGGAGGTATGGTGTCGCGAAATGCGCGGTATGATAGCGACCATGGTGTTTGCTGTCGTGTGGTGTTTGGGAAGCTGGTCTCGATGCCTTGGATCAGGGTGTTGACGATAGCGAGAGAGGCGTCGATGTTGGTAGAGGGGTTGGAGACGAAATATAGCCTACAGTATTAATTCTGTGCGAATATCAGGTGTGTGGAAGGTGAAGGATTACCCGCTATATTTCATCTTGTCTATGTTGCAGTGTGTCAGAGAAAGGTCTGCTATGCGTAAGGTAGAAATGGGTGGATTCGCCAGGTCTAGCTATCGCAATTTTCTATGAGCGAGAGGCAGAAAATCTACGAGAAAGAGCGCACATAGCCCTGCGCGTGACCAAGAGTGCCAAATCCTGAAGTGCCCAAGTGAAGATGCGATGAGCGACGCGACGCAACCTGGGAAGCTCCCACGCGGGTGGGGCAGCTTTTAGCGCGTCAGCGACGACAGCTCGTTCTCGTACAACCCGTGACAACATACCATGAATCCGCTCCACTTGTTTTTACACGCTTTTCAACAGAACCCATAACAGAACAGCCCTCCACCGCGCCTTATCATGTTTGTCGTAACTGGTGGCAAACAAGCGTCTTCCTGTATCCCATGGGGAAGGAACTCTACCCTGAACTCGCGATTTGCGGAGCTACGCATATAGACAGTACGCGAAGTGCTGTCGATGCTCAACTCCACAATGTTGCCCATCACTCGTTCCGAAATCCAGAGTGAGTTACCTTGGAAGTACAGTAGAGGCCCCGGACTGAAGTCTGTACCCGGAACGTTGATGTTGGTCGCCAAAGTGCCGTCGATCATGGTCAAGTCCAGCTCATCTTCGTTGACTATTCGGCCAGTCGTATCAGTCTCCCTCCAGCGTGTGATACCGGCGCCTGGGAAGTAGGCGTCAATCGAGATTTCATACTCGGCATTGTAACGGTCGTTAATGTACTCTATCCAAGAGTCCCTGGATGGTCCAAAGTCCGCCGAGTCAGATGCAGCACGCCCAATCCGATTTCGTTCGGCCAGTACGCCGGCCCACTGCCATGGGGTCATCAGTCGCCAATGCGCAGAGATGAAAAGTGACGCTATCAGGAACTTGATAGTCTGCCAGTCTCCGAGTCTGAGCCTGAGTTCGGGCATCCAGCCTTCCTGAAAATTTAGCGGAAATCGACCCTGTAGTACACCTGCATGGACGACGTTTTTCATGGCTTGAAGAAACCGCAGGGGATCATTGGGGTCTTCGAGATCGATACCAAACTGCCTGCGGATATCTTCGGTTCCTGTAAGCGGCCCAAGCACATCTTGGATCGTTGTAGCCATGAGACCAAAGACAGTGTTGGTCAGATAACCTGAGTCAACCCCAAGCCCCGGATCAAATCCGTGGTCGACATTAGGGCTTACGGTTTGAACCACGGTCTCCTGTGCTGGGGGCAGGAGAAAACAAACTGCACGACAGGTTGGACATGTGTTCTGACTATCTTCCTCACCTAGCCATCGATCTAGACACGCCCGATGGAAGACATGGCCGCATATCGTCCGAATGATCGTGTACGTATCGGGACTCCAGGGATCTCTGCAGATGGGACATGCCGGATCGTCTGAAGGGGGCGACGGCTTGACGTGGCTTAAAAAGTACTGCTCGCGCGACCGTGCTGGAGGGTGGTTCATATTGACGGAGGTCTGGCTCACAGTGCGGTACTGTTCAACTGCGTTGTACAACGATGTATGGCGAGGAATGATCCAATGTATTGACGGATTTTCCGGCCTTTTGAGGACGAAGGGACATCGCTCGCACACAGTGTGACTGCGTGTATTTCACACACCATCGTGTGGGAGGTGGTTCACCAGGATGTGGTTCACCACGTAAGCCGCCATTTCACACATTTGGACGCTGGACGCAGGTAATGCGACAGTATATATAAGACAATGCCGGGCGTTGAGGGTGAAGACTGAAAGCTTGTCATCGAGTATATAGTCTCTACCATGGCTTCTGCTGGGCGCCAATGCCCAGATAGAGACACAGTAGCAGTATATATGCATTCAGGTAAAGATTTTGGCAAGGAATTTGCCCTCACACTCTCTTTTCGGGCTTTGTTCTGGACAAAGGTCTTCCACCAAACATGGGGTGAATGTCAAGCAGCTTGCCTGTTGAACAACTAGTACACCGCCTTGTTAATACCACAGATAGCTTAGGTCTTGATATATTGCGCAAGGCCGCAGATGGTTTTCATGAACTAACGAATGGCATCTTACGATACATTTGGGTTCATCGCTCTGGTCATCCTCCGTTCATTGACCAAAGGATGCTCGTAGTAGCGAGAATGCTGCGAAAAGATTGGCATCTTTTCATAATTCGCTGTTGGGTCCCTCTATAGCATGCTCTGACTGCTGCAGTGAATTGGCAGGAGTTGATGTCCCATGTTGCTCTTTCTGTGGTTGCCCTTTGATCACATGAACTGGCCTGGGCGATGGAAGATGGATGTGGGAATGTGGCTTGAGCCCGTTCGACTGCGTCTCGTGTCTCATTGTGCCTCGATCAGATTACTCATCTGAGCACGCATCAATGTGTGAAAGGCGGGTTGCGGTGTTACCAAGCCCGTGTCTACGTCAACACTTCTCAAAATCAACGCGCAAGCCGTCTGCTAAGTGTAGCGATGCAAGCTATAACGACTGGCATGTAGACTTTCGGACTGTATGGTGATTAGTTTGATATGGTGATTAGTTGACTTTCTATAAGGCTGTATGGTCTTACATGTAACAGCTGTCAGTGTTCGGAAATTTAGCGGGATGATCCTGTCAGCAATTTCGTGTTCCTGTTGTCCACGGGTATCTTGCGGAGTAATTACCCGTCCCTCGGTTCAGCCTCCAATGTGCCTCACGCCACCCATGTACTCCGTCCTGAAGATTGGCACTGCATAGCACTAGCCACACAAAAGCACTGCAGCTCCGTCGCACGTCATGATTCCCGTAGACCCAATGCGCTTTCGGAAGCTGATATCGCAAGAGCGGGGATTGATGCTCGAATGCTCGATAGGACGCATCGGCACCGCGCACTTTGCGCCTGCCTAATCTAGCGTAGAAAGGCGGGCTAGCGCCTGAGGCTTGTGAAGCTTCGACAACTCCACGAAGCTTCGCGGTCAGTGTTACAGCGGCCGACTGTCCAATCTCTTACCTAGTAATCATTACCATTGCACCGAGATGCATCCATAATTGTGGGCACTCTACCATCAAAGCGACCCTGGGTCCTTGGGTACCTGTGTTGCCCTGAACCCCCAATGCCGTTCGGGATACGATCGTCAATCGTTCAGAGCACCAAGCACACCACGGCCTTCCTCTTCGAGCATACGTGCATGCATGCTCTTAATCTAGTTCCCTATCATATCCGCCTCGCCTATTCGCCCGACCGTCCTTTGCCTTGTTCTACATGGGTCTAGCAATGACAAGTACAGGGTAGCTCCTGCAGCTATGATGTCTTCTTTCTCGGGAACGCGCAAGTTCGCTACCTGGTCCGCGGTTCAAGCTGTGCAGCTATAAAGTGGTATAGTTCGTGCGACTGCAGCGGAGGTACGGCGAACCTGAGATCTTTGCCTCCAGTTCTTGTCGTGTTGTCTGGGTTGAAAGCATGGCTTCCCTCTTCAATGCCGTTGCGGGTCTCTCGCTAGCCTCAGTCGCGCTATCGTCGCCTGTCGCACCTCATATTCATACACGGCACTACAACGCGACAAGTCCCTGCGCACAAGTCGGCACCGCGATCGTAGGCAAGAATGTCACTGCAGGTACCGCGACTGTACCCGCCGAACTCGCATGGGACTGCATCAACTCCGTCCCATTCAACCAGAGCGCTGCTCTTGCCCTGGTAGACGGTGTCGTTCCATATTTCAAATGGCAAAGTAACACCGTCTGGTTGAAAGACCCTCCTGCTGAGTACGCCGAGAAGGTCCAGCCAGCGGTTGATATCTGGGGCGAACTCGAGGAAATCAGGAAAAAGGTCAATGGAGGAGAGTACAAGAACGAGTACGAAGTAAGATGTCTCTCTCCTTGTTATGAAGAGTATGAGCTGATTCAGAACAGTTCGGTTTCGAGCTCTACACCCTATTGCAAAGCACCCATGACGGTCACTTTGTGTACGTCCCCGATGTAGTCGGCACGGTTTTCAACTTCGCCCGTCCTGTACCACTCGTTTCCGTTTCGAGCGACGGAAAGGAGCTTCCCCGGCCTTACGTCTATGCTGATGTCTTGGCCGAATCTTTCGGCAATGCTACGTTCACGCCTTCGCCCATTACCCACATCGATGGCGAGGATGCCAAGGATTTCCTGGAGAACTGGGCCCAGTACGGTTCCCTTCAGGACCGAGACGCGTTGTACAACAACGTCTTCTACGAGCTCGCCACTGTATCTCTCGGCCCGGTTGGATCTGGTATTGGAACCTTCGCGGGATCGGGCCGCGGTCGTTGGATTTACCCCGGTCCTACCACCGAGCTTACGTTTGAAAACGGTACCAGCCGAACTTATGACAACTTCGCCAAGGTTCTGATCCCCTTCGACGGTATTACCGACGGAGAGAGCCTCTACAAGCTCTGGTTCACGGGCAACCAGCCTGGAAGCGAAACCGAAGCTTCCAACACTACCTCGGCTACACCTACACCCTCAGCCACTACCTCCGCTACGCCTCTTCCAACCATCCCTGCGCCAGGATACCCGCCTCCAGTCCTTCGTGAAGCACACAACTTGATTGGTGGCTACTTCCTCGAGGGTGACTACTCAGACGTTGCCGTACTTTCCGTGCCATCTTTCGTCGGAATTGACAACGCACAGGAAGGGTTCCAAGATACTGCTGCCAAGTTCCTTGCCCAGGCCAAGTCCGCCGGGAAAAAGAAGCTCGTGGTTGACGTTTCAGCCAACGGCGGAGGCACCATCTTGCTCGGCTACGATCTATACAAGCTGCTATTCCCGCAAGAGATTGATCACGCGGCTGCCGACCGCTACCGCGCCTTCGAAACTACAGAGATCTTGAACCGAAAGTTCTCTGAAGCTGCCGCGGGTGTACCACGTGTGCTTGAGACCAAGAACGAAACACTAGAGGATCTGGTCGGCAATGTTGTGTCCTCCGTCTTCAACTACCGATCTGATCTTGATGTCAATAGCGAGAACTTCGAGAGCTGGCAGGACAAGTTTGGCCCTGGGCTCGAGCAGAAGGGGGACAACTTCACCAACCTCTTCCGCTGGAACCTCAGCGACGTACTGACTCCGCTCAACTCCGGTGGTGTTTACGTCCACGGATATGGCCCACTCTCAAACTACACTAAGGCTCCTTTTGCCGCCGAGGACATCGTCGTCGTCACCGATGGATACTGCGCGTCAACTTGCACCATCTTCTCTGAACTCATGCGTCAGCGTGCCGGTGTCAAGTACATCTCACTGGGAGGCCGCCCTCGTGAGGGTATTACGCAAGCCGTGGGGGGTGTGAAGGGAACGAACAACTACCCGTGGGACTACATTCAATCCGTGGCTCAGTTCACCATCGGTAATCTGTCTACGCCTGCAGAAGGCGCTGAGCTCAACAAGACGGAACTAGGCGACTACTTCGACGACACACCCTTTATCCGCTCTTCCAACAACGCGATCAACGTCAACTTCCGCGATGGTATTCGCGATGGAGACGAGACTGACACACCTCTCCAGTTCGTCTACGAGCCTTCAGACTGCCGTATTCTGTACACCAAGGCTATGACTGTCGATGTAACCGCTATCTGGAAGGCTGTTGCTGATTCAACCTGGGGCCATATTAGCCACTGCATTGCCGGAGACCTCGGTGGTTACTCAACATCACGCATGGGGAAGCGTGAGTTGAGCGTATCTGAGAGAGCACACAGCAAGAGGATGCAGTCGTGGAGGAGGGACCTCAAGGCGGCTGACTACCCGCTTGATGTCAGGACTGATTTGACCGGCATGAACTTCGATGGTAATGGCATGATGTGGCCGTAAATTACGGTTTATCAACCTGATAGAATGAGGGTAAACATGCATCTAGATACGAAATGAATATCGTGGTCTTGATGCACCAGATCTTGAACCTGTGACATGTGTTATGACAGTTCATGCAATGCTGCCTGTGCGTTGAGAACGATTGTCTTGCTTAAGTCGAAGAATGCGGAACTAATTTCACTTCAATATTTCAGTGTGAATATGCTAAACTACCAAGGGTACGCGCCTCTCACGATAGTGAAAGAACTGGGACGGGCATCGATCACAAAGGTGATAGCACAGGCAACTACATGCTGCCAGATTTTCACTCAGACAAGTGATGGTTCCATTCAGCGGCGTCAAGCGCTTGCCATGAAAAGTTCATTGTTGGTCGATTTGGGTTGGATGTATTGAGTGACGCCTCTAGTCCTGCGAATAGGACGGGTGTAGCACATCATACAAGAGAAAGCCTGAACAGGTCTGCAGACTACATTAAGATGA